AATAATACAGGCTTTGTACAACTATGGGGCTAGGAAGTTTGTGTTGATAGGAGTGGGCCAAATTGGGTGCAGCCCAAATGCTCTGGCCCAAAACAGTCAGGACGGGTCAACTTGCGTGCAGAGAATCAACAGTGCAAATCAGATATTCAACCGGAAATTGAGAGGATTAGTTGACCAGTTCAACGGCAACTCTCGGGACGCCAGATTCATCTACATCGACGCGTATGGAATTTTCCAGGACTTGATTGACAGTCCCTCATCTTTTGGTAAATTTCTCTTTCCTTTGTGCAGGGGCCCCTAATTTATTTTCTAAAAATGGCGAATTCCCCCTCCATTTATCTTTGTGCCTCAAATTTCCTCATTTGTACTAAAACGTATATATGAAACCCACGTCATCTTTATCTTTCCCATGGTCCACTAGAAGAACATTATCACGTGATCGATGGTAACAACTAACAATATTAATGTAAAATTGCACTATATATGTCCGGTAAATTTGTCTAATAATTTTTGATACTACATTTATTATATTAAATTATAAAAGTAGCAATTTATGTTCCATTGGATTGATACGTAGTAATGCTAGTCCTGTAATTTAATATTTTGTTATAATTTCAGTTATTTGAGTATTTCAATCATTACAAGAGCTAAATTACTAATAAAAAAAATTCATCCCTAATATCTAATTTTGGAATTTTAAATCCCGTCATTTAAAATTTTATTGTAATTTCAGTTTTCAAATCACTGAATTTGCAACAAATGATAAACTTGAAGACTTAAATTGATATATGTCACTCCAGTAGAACTTAAATTCCTACCTTAATAATCTAATGGATCAAAATTACTTTTTAATCCTACAAATAAAATCAATTAACTAATTATATCATGAATATTTTGCTCCATTACGTGAAATGATTAGTAGTTTGTATACTTTATAGGTATATTATGCTTGATATTTAGTTGTGAATGCACATTATCCACAATAGAAAATGTTACTAATAAATAATTGGTGTAATTTAACCCAAATTATATTACTGAGCATTTTTAGAATTTCTTAAATTGTAGTAGTCTCGCTAGTTTTGCAATAATATTGTTTTATTTATTTAATTTAGTGTATATGTTTGTGTATTTTAGGGTTTAGGGTCACAAATGCTGGATGCTGTGGAGTTGGGAGGAACAATGGACAAATAACATGTCTTCCATTTCAAACTCCATGCCAAAATAGAGATGAATATTTGTTTTGGGATGCTTTTCACCCAGGTGAGGCTGCAAATATTATCGTTGGCCGAAGATCGTACAGTGCTCAGAAGTCCTCGGATGCTTATCCATTTGATATTCGCCGTTTGGCCCAACTTTGAAAGAATTAATTAAACCCGGCCAAGAAATCGACCAGCGCAAAAATCAGCATTTTGGCCTAGTGAAATTATATTACATACTATCTATATAGTTTTTAATTCGAGGTTTGGCATAATTTCTCTTACTTTTTTGTTGTCCGATTTTTGTGTGTTGTGTTGATTCTTGCATGAAAACTGGCAAAAGAAAATGTCGGTTTGAGTGTATCTGTGTAATGTAATATGTTTGTTTTCCAAGTGTTTGATTTTTTTTTTTCTTTTTTTTTTCAACAAGTAAATCATACTATATTAATAAAATTATTATACTATTTATTAGTATTTAATTGAAAATCACTTAGAAAATAGACTAACATAACCTTTTTCCGTCCATATTAATTAGCATCTAAATTAGCTACTAACTTTTACAGTTGACAATTGAAGCAGTTGATAAATCATTGATTAGCTAACTACTAGCTGCATGGCATTAAGTCAACTGTCATTCCACTACTAACTTGTAGCCTGCTATTATTATTTCATTTTATTTTAATTTTATTTGGACTGTATTCCCTGGTAGAAATGGAGAATAAGAGTAGATTACAATGAATACAGAAGTACTGTAATTAACCCCGTAAATAAGAGTAGATTACAATGAAATTAATCAATCTTTCAACAAAACAAACATACGAATCCATGACAAGACTAGCAGAGGTACGTGTTTATTTGAACTGTTTATTCAAAACTTTAATGGATTTTATTCTAATAATTCTATTCATTGCTAAATAATTCTGTTCATTGCTATCATAATTGATTAGCTACATCTTCAATACCCACATGAATAAGTACTAAGTTTGACATCGTTAGGCAGGTTACAAAATGAAGTATGTTTATATTGTATTTCAAAGTACAACATTTGAATTTGAAAGTATGTAAATTTATTATAAAATTACGACTACACATCTGTAAATAAATTTGAGACACATTCACCATTTTGTCCAACGCTTTTTTTTATGTCATAAGCAAGATAACTTTTGTTCAATTATGATTTATGAACTTTCCGGAATTATATAAACCAGCATGAAATTAATTACAGACCAGGTCACAGTCACCTCACAAATTATAGCCGAGTGAAATTAAATGCACCCATCTAACTCCATATCTGTTCAAATATTATCTAAAGAAATAATGTCAAATTCCAATCTTTTTAAAACCATTTTCATCCCAAAAATTTCAAATATATATATACCCGTAACTTAATGCCTTAAATTCAATCACATTCTCATCTTTCCCTTTATCCTTTTCCACATTCCCTTTGCAATTATAATTTCCTCTACTATTACAACTACATTGGGTTTGGAGTATATATATCTATATATAAACAATAATGGGCATTGGATTCGAAAAATGGTCGATTTTATTGTTGGTAGCCCTATCAACAGTGGCGATTAAGGCGCAGCCTCAAGTGCCGTGCTACTTCATATTCGGCGACTCATTAGTGGCCAATGGCAATAACAACAATGTTCAATCCTTGGCTCGAGCCAATTACTTGCCTTATGGCATCGATTTTCCTGATGGGCCCACCGGTAGATTTTTCAACGGCAAGACTACATTCGATGTAATTGATAAGTATATATAATAAGCAGTTAAAAAATAGTAGTAGTTAACCTATATAATTGCAAATGGTACCCTTACATTTTTTGTTAGCTTTTCACTAACATAAATATATAAAGGCAGTTGTTAATTAGTAGTAGCATATGAAGATGATGGCTAGGCGAACCATAGATGTTATTTGAACTGAGCTGAGCTGAGTAATTTGTTTAATTGTGTCTGAGGCCTGACTCAGCTCGACTAGTTTAATCAAGCTCGTGAAAGCTCAATTCCCGTATGAACTTGACTCAACGCGTGTTCAAGCTACAGCTGAGATTGAGGTTAAGTCGAATTGAGTTTTGTTTGTGAACAACTCAATTAGAATAGGGCGCAAATCCTTCTTTTGAGAATCTTTTTTCCCAAGTGATCAAGTTTGAACTCAAGAAACTAATCAATATTTTCCCCATTTTGCAGTCGAGCTTTTAGGTTTCGACGATTACATTCCGCCGTACTCAAGCGCGCGCGGGCAACAAATACTCCGGGGAGTAAATTACGCATCGGCGGCCGCCGAAATCCGACAAGCAACCGGAGTACAAGTTGTAAGAAATCAAAAAGAACAATAAAATTAAAAAAAAAAAACTATTTCACAACATCAATAGACAAGAACTTAGTAATATCAATGTTGATTAACACACTGTCATTAGGGCGAAAGAATTGATTTCACCGGACAAGTAAACAACTACAAGACCACGGTTTCGCTAGCCAAAGGCGAGCATGAATGGGATGCAACCGACTGGAGTTCCTTACGCGACAAGAAGAACGAGAGTTCCTAGAAGACCTTGGCGGATTCTAGAATATTATATTTACTAGTTTACTATTCCTAGGTTTATTAGTTGTTGGGGTTAATTGGCTGTGCCTAATTATTTATTTCCTTAGGATTAGTATTTTATTCCTCATAGGCTTAGTTTTTCTTTCTCTTTAAATAAGCCTATGAACTCATCTATTTATTCATTAAAGTAATATGAAATTAAATGCTCATCTTGAACACAAATCTCTTGTGTTAAACTAGGTCGATAGATCGGGTTTTATTACAAATACTCGAGTAGGAACAAGGTTGTCAACGCGCGTTCCTTCACAAAGTACATTCACGATACCCGATCTTCATCATTGGTGCTTTCTTTGAGAGTTATTGATTGTGTATCATCATCATCATCATCATGAAAAATCGTGATAGGCTCGACACCGTGGAGGAGAAATTGGGGTCCTTTGGCGATGGTCAACACACAACACGAACCAAAACATGGCTCAGATTGAGCAAATGATGCACGATATGGCCGCACAAATTACACACCTTGCACGGCATCCACGGAGAAGAAGCAAACCCGAGTCATCATCGGAAGATTAAACCGACTCAAAGGCAGATCACAACGATGTTGAGGGCGAGTCCGACAACCTATCACGGGGTTATAATCGCCGTGAGGAGTAGTGTCCTAACCCCTACTCGTTCCACTCACTCCGCTCGGACGCTCCGCTCCCTCGCTAAACTCGCTCCACTCGCAGGTATCAGCCTACCTCCTTCCTTTGTCAATATATGAGCCATATCAACACTATATATATATTATATACATATAGAACTTTGCAATAATTAAGAACAAAATAATAAAATATAATACTACCGACACCAAACAGTACGTAATACTGATCACTATTTGAAGAATTGTCGTGGCATGTGATAAACGTGACTTTTATACGGAGAAAATTTGTTACTATTGTAGGGTAGTGTACTTTGGTAGTAATTGATTGGCTAGTATTCATTCTTGCATATTTTCTTATCTCTTCCCCCCAAGTATTTGCAATTCAAATGGCCCCCTTTAGAAAATAACATAATCAAAGTCGTGATTTGAGTGCAAAAAGACTTTAATAAAGCCTCCAAAAATATGGGTTGTGTACATGTGTTAGAAAGTTGTAGATTTGACTTTTGAGTAGTTACATATTAATTAGAGTTTATTTGAAAGTCACTTAGAAAATAGACTAACATAACCTTTTCCGTCCATATATATTAGCATCTAAATTACATATAATTTTTACACTTGAAAATTGAAGCAGTTGATAAAAAATCATTGATTAGCTAACGCAAAACACGAATGAATAGATATAAAAATTAAAAGCTATTATATTAAATTACGAACTAAAATTATTGAACTGAATTTGATCAGCTCACTTACAGTTATCTATTACTACATAATACAGTTAAGAAAAATTATTCAAACAATTCCAAAAAAAATAATTCGTTTTCCCGCTTTTTTAAAGTCATTTTCCTGCTTATGTTTTTCGTTTTTTACCATTTTCGACAAATTTTTTTGAATATTTTCGCATGTCCCGCCCATGCAATTTGGTAACCAATCAAATCGGATCGGATATTGTGGGTTAGTTATAGATAACAGAATCTAAAAGATTTTAACTTCCTTAAAATATGGAAAGACTATTTCTTAATTAAAAAAAAAATAAGGATAAAAACGTGTACAAATAATTTGAAAATCTTGTGGTAACATATATTGGCCAAAATCTATCACTCGCCGTCTTTTTTTTTTAATAATATATACTTATATATTAAATATTTTTTTCTTAAAATGTAAATTTATTCTTTTTCTCCTTTTTTTAATTTTTAAAAAAGTTACATTCCTATATAAATAATAAATATCATGTAATATTCATAATATCTATTTTACTACTAAATTTCGTTGGAATAACTATGTTTTAAAAGGAATGTATAAATTTATTCAGAGTTTCATAAAGCTTTCAAATTACAATTCAAAATTATTTCGTAAATAAAATTGAATATAAAAAACATGCTTCAATACGTGTTCACATTAGAATTCAAAAAGAATTTCTATTTTTTATTTTATTTTATTAATATGTAGATAAAATCTCAATAATATCTACAACATGATTAGCTTTCAATTTTTTTCGGTTATCTACAACATGAATTAATTGATTGGATTATTGAAGTCTGGATATTTTACACACATGATAAAAAATAGCTTTCAAATCCAGCCTTTTGAAAATATTATTTTTAATTTTTTTATAAGTGAAAATATTAGCTTTCAAATCCAGACTTTTTTTTT